TGTACACTCATGCAATCCACAGTGTGCTTTGCTACATTTCGCAGCTGCTTTGTACTTTTTGCCTATCTGCACAAATGCAATGTCTTCCACCACGGATGGGCACGTCTCGCAATATTGATGCATGGAATGTGGTGTAATAAGGAAGTTCTTTTTGACCCTCGACAGTGGGTAGGTTTCCAACTGCTAGCTTCGGCATTGTAGACTCGTGAGTGTGAACTGTCCCTCACAGCGATGCCTTGATGCAATGGCTTGGTGGGACAGCATGTTAAGCGGCATTAATCTCTTAGCAATTCCGATTGGCCTATGCGAGATTGTCCCATACCCTACGCAAACGGCGTCAACAGTCTCTTCTTCAATGAGACCTTCTCCTCTGCTCCATCACTCGCCAACTCCTCACCTTCGAAGAGGCCGTAGTCTCGATGCACAAGGAATGCTGTACACACCACAGCCGCCACTCCATCAGTTAAATCGAATGCTTGTTTGCGGATGTTTTGGTGCCATACTCAGGAGTCGCAAACGCCTACAACAACCACTTTTGTCCAAAATCGCGTGATGCTCAATAAGAGCTAGCCCCTTTGTGTTTATTGTGACTACAATGTTTGTGCAACTCGTGCTTTGAAGTTGGCTAAGTGGAATGTGATGTTTGGGGGTGATGGAGGGGGTGACACTTGTACGAGTGCCGGCATGGCGGCAAACGGTTCTTGGCAGACTGCATGTCCATTGTCTTGTGAACATAATCCATTCTTCGTGTAGCATCCACTTACGGAAGGTGGCTTTCCAAACGACAGCCGAATGTGACTCTATGTAAAATGGTATTACGAATTTCGATCATGTCTGTCGGTCGTCCGTCATGTGGGTGGGTGTGGGAATAAAGCACCGTCAGCCGTAGTCTGTGGCGTCGTCGGTTTGAGGCCCATGAGTAAGGCGAGGACTGCGTTGGTGTGCGAGCAGACACATTTTCCTGCACTCAATGCTTAGAAATCAAAGAACGCACCTTCTTATGTAGGGTTGTTCTAACATCGTCTTGATGGCAGACAATGCGATAGCAGGTCTGCTCGTCAGATGATGCTGCATAGCCAGAGTCTCTCGCATTCACCTTAATGCACAGATGCCTTAGAAGAGCGAAGAGGGTATCGAAGTGCCACTGTTGTTGTCCACACCCGTCTACCGCCTCACCACTTCGCACATAATGGAAGGGTGGTGTCACGATTACTGTGAGGTTGAATGTCATGCGGTGTCACCGCCTGCAATAGCGCTACTCCACAAACCTGACAATCGCCTATTGCACAACTGTGTGTGTGCTTCGACTCGTCGCTACGACTTGCAATCACATCCATTCATGGTATTCCCCGTCTACAATGCACAAAGAACAGCGCATCCTGTATTGTCAGCGAGAGCTCTCCCAACTGTTGCCATGATGAGGCGCACACATGGTTTGCTACTTGAGGTAGTGTGCAACGTGGTGTCATGCAGTCAAAGCCCAAGTCGAGCGATGCTGTCGAGGTGCATTTAATGTGGGCACAATTGGAGTGTCTGCACCTTTTCTGACACCTCATTCGACTCAAGTTGATAGTGCGCAACATTACGATTCCACAAAAAATGCGAAGCGTCAAGGCATCCAAGAAGGCATTTGATGCTACACAAGTATATTGCTCCCATGAATGGAAAAAAATGCAGCTGGAAGTGCTGCTCAAAGCGAACTAAAGATCGCCACTGCCAGACAACTTGGGCAGGCGCTTGTAAATCATGTTGGTGTGCAGAGTCATGTCGGTCTTCTTCTCGGTAGCCATAAACACCTTTTGTGTCAAGGTATCGTTGTCGAGTAGGGCGATTTCCCTGCGCACCTAGAAAGGGAAGAGGACATTGCCGCATGACAAATATGTTGTCAGTT